ATAAAAGTTTTATTTAAAAACTTTAAATAAATCAACCTGCCCTGAAAAAAATATTCATTGGATTTTCGTAAGGTAAAATATTTTTAAGGTAAGTGTTTGCTTACAATTTATATGGGCTGAATTTAAACAAACACATTAATTTTAGTATGTTCAACTTAATTTGTTTGTTTAAATTCAGCTCATAAAAATTGTTTGCAACCACTTACCCTTAAAGAGTAAATGCAATGAATCTTTTTTTTTTTTTCAGTGTATAGTACCAAACTGGTTTCTGGATTTCCCTCCTTATCCATCCGGATTCCCTCCTCAATCCCTAGTTTCCCTCTTGTGTGCTGGTTTTTCCCTCCCTTCAGGCTGTGTGTGAGACTTTAATTAGAGAGAAAAGCCAAGGCAGGAACAATGACACCTGCTCCTGCCTCCCATATGGGCCACACCAGCCGGGAAACACTAGCAGGAGAGATCAGTGGACATGCTCGATCACCACATACACTCAAAATAAATCAATTTAAAAGTATTTTTTCACACAGTGAAAGAAAGTTGATTACTTTATTTGGAGTTGTTTACCATTATTTAAATACTTAGACTTCAATTCTCATAATGATGGATAATAGTAAGTGTTTATTAAAGATTGAACTGTTAAATGTGCATAGATTAATATAGTAAAACAAATGAAGCTATGTGTAATACTCAAAAATTATTTCAGTTTTCTTATTTAATCATTTGATGAAGTAATAAGGACAGTATTGTTTCAGTATTCCTAAAACATGATTGTACCCCTTAATAATCATTTGATTAAGTTTTTATTTAAGTAAATTTTTTGTGTGTTTTTTGTAGTTTTTATTGACAATTTATATATATATATATATATATATATATATATATATATATATATATATATATATACACATTAAAACATGATGTTTTAGCAAATCAAGTTACATGTACAAATACAAATACAATATTCATACAAATATTTGGCAACTTGCGGAAATAAAAGAAGTTAAAGGTTTATAAACATATAGTTTATATATATAGTGCGTTCACGTGCACACAACAGAGTGACATCAGTAAAAACAAATTCTGAATCAAAACTTTTTAAAATCCTGAATCAATATTGGTTGTTAGTATATTGTTTAACAGAGAAAAGAAATTTTTCACAGTATGTCCAACACAATCTCACGGCAATTCGTAACTTTTTGAATTAGTAGCTAATTCGTATGAATTCGTACGATCTAATTCGTACAATTTAGTACGATTTGCTAATCCCCCAATGACGGTTGAGCGTTGGGGTGGGGTTAGGTGCCACACCTCCTATTTAAAATCGTAAAAATTCGTACAATCGTTTACAATTCGTACGAATTAGCCACTAAACTGGCAAAACGTACTTACGTTTTCTCGTGAGATCAGGCTGGGATGTCTGATAATATTTTTTCCTCTGGTGAAAGTCTTATTTGTTTTATTTCGGCTAGAATAAAAGCAGTTATTAATTTTTTAAACATTTTAAGGACAATATCATTAGCCCCTTTAAGCATTCTTTTTTTACAGTCTACAGTACAAACCATCGTTATACAATAACTTGCCTAATTACGCTAACCTGCCTAGTTAACGTAATTATCCTAGTTAAACCATTAAACGTCACTTAAAGCTGTATAGAAGTGTCTTGAAAAATATTTAGTCAAATATTATTTACTGTCATCATGGCAAAGAAAAAATAAATCAGTTGCTCCAAATTGCTTAAATCAGAGATGCCTTTTTAAAACTATTATGTTTAGAAAAGTGCTGAAAAAGTCTTCTCTCCGTTAAACAGAAATTAGGGGGAAAATAAATAGGGGGGCGAATAATTCTGACTTTCCCCATGTAATATTTAACAGAGCAAGGACATTTTCACAGTATGTCTGATAATATTTTTTCTTCTGGAGAAAGTTTTATTTGTTTTATTTCGGCTATCGCCCTGCGTTAACCAATCGGGAGCTTTCTCAAGTAGCGGCCATCATCCAGGCACAGCTTATGGAGAAGTTGGTGAAACTCCAAGCGTGTTGTGCCTCTGAAGGATCTAATAAACCCAGAAACAATGTCAAACGAGTCCACGTCCATTTTTCAGTCTCCCATATCACGTAAAGCACAAAATCAACGCTATTTGGCAACGAAACAAGCGTGATTTCAGGTTTGCTGTAAAGTGAATTTTATGCACGAATTAAGCGAACTGCACACACAAGTTCATTTATTCATTTTTCTACAGCATAGTCCCTTTATTTATCAAGGGTCGCCACAGCGGAACGAACCAACAACTATTCCAGCATATGTTTTACACAGCGGATGCCCTTCCAGCTCCAACCCAGTACTAGGAAACACCCATACACTTTCACATGCACACACACACTCATACACAACAGCCAATTTAGTTCATTCAATTCACTTATACTGCATGACTGTGGGGGAAACCGGAACACCCGGAGGAAACCTACACCAACACGAGGAGAACATGCAAACTCCACAAATAACAACTGGTCCAGCCGGGACAGCAATATCTTGTATGTATGTATGTATGTATGTATGTATGTATGTATGTATGTATGTGTATGTATATATATATATATATATATATATATATATATATATATATATATATTAGGGATGTAACGGTATTGTAAATACCGTCATACCGCAATATTAAATTTTTTCGATATTACCGAAGTCGCATGACTCGGTAAAACTATAGGTCTTCTGAGAAAATTTGCTCAGGCGAATGAAGCGAACGGGAGCTAGCTGAAACTTCATTTCCCATCAGCCCCGGCGTGGCCATAATCCTTTGCGGTCTGTTGTCGCTACAGATCCAGTAATGTGGAAATGGAGTGTGCTGCTAGTAGCGGAGATGAAAAAAAGATGGAAATGATCGAACCTAAAGCGGGTGTTGTCGCCGCGCGCGTGCTGAATAGCGGTGCTGTCGCGCGCGTTCTGATCAGCTGTGTTGTGGCGCGCGTATTGTAAAGCGCCGAGGGGGGGTTGAGCGCGCATACTCGAGAGGTGTTGTCGCGCGCCTACTGAAGGGCTGGACTGGACGGAGGTTGTGTCGCGTCGCGGGGGCACCTTTGATCGTTTTGGAAGGGCATTTTCTATCCAAGACTAAAAAGGGCATGTGCACTGCACAGGTTGAGCCCTATGTGTGCACGTGCCTGCAAGTTGGGGAATACAACTAATAACAGTCATGGGGACTGCAGAAACACAGCACACTGTTCAGATTGATGCAGACATTGACTTGTACCGCAAAGAGATCTCTATCTCACTCATGGTTTGTCTTCTCAAGTGGGGGAAAGACAATGCACAACGTTACCCACTGCTGTCAACCTGGACCAAGTCATATCTCTCTTGTCCCAGAAACCTCAGTCCCAAATGAGAGGGGTTTTTTCTGTTGCAGGGGACATTGTAAATACCCAGAGATCCCAGCTTTTACCAGATTATAGTTATATGATAATTTTCCTTTAAACCCATCTCTATCTAAGTGAGTGATTAAATGTTGAATGTGATGAGTTTTCAACAATACTAAATTGAAACTTTATTTTTTTTACATGGTTTAATAATTTTTTGTTATTAAAATTGAAGTTCCTGTTTCAAAGCTAACAGATAGATGGCTAATTTGTATGTCATTGACACTTTTGGCACTTTTTTGGAGTATTTTCAAAAGTTTTTTTTTCCTGTAAATGATTCAATAAATACCGTACCGTGACATTCATACCGAGGTATTACCGAACCGTGAAATTCTGATACCGTTACATCCCTAATATATATATATATATATATATTTATTTATTTATTTATTTATTTTTTATTATTATTATTTTTTTTTACTATATTTGAGGTTTGTGAAATTTGATAGCACGTCATGATTTTGCCATGTAAGATGTGATCCTGGAATCAGTGCGAAGCAGTGGCGCAGTAGGTAGTGCTGTTGCCTCACAGCAAGAAGGTCGCTGGGTTGCTGGTTCGATCCTTGGCTCAGTTGGCGTTTCTGTGTGGAGTTTGCATGTCCTCCCTGCGTTTGCGGGGGTTTCATCTGGGTGCTCCGGTTCCAATTCTGTTTCCAGTCCAAAGACATGCAGTACAGGTGAATTGGGTAGGCTTAAATGTCCGTAGTGCATTTGTGTGTGTGTGAATGAGTGTTTGTTGATCTTTCTCAGAGATAGGTGCTGGCTGGATGGGCATCTGCTACGTAAAAGAAACGTGCTGGGTTAGTTGGCGATTCATTCCGCTGTGGCGACCCCTGATTAATAAAGGGACTAAGCTGACAAGAAAATAAATGAATGAATGAATGAATGACTTGATCCTGGAATCCTGGATTAACATCAATGCTGATCCTAGAACATGATTTTTGTTCTAAAATGAAATCCACACCTATTCCCTACCCCTAAACCCAACCATGACAGGAGAATAATAGTCGGGAAACAATCATGTAAAAACCTAACTGTCTAAACTTAACATAAACTGTAAACATATCCCTTCATTCTGATTGGCTGATTGGAATATTGTTCCAGGATCAACATAGATGTTAATACAGGACTATTTCCTTCTTGGTGAAATCAGGTTGAGGAGTTTGATAGGGTCATTAAGGTGGATTCAAAAATGTATTTAGAGGTGATACTTGTTGTTTGATATGTTTATTGAGATCTATATCTTGTGCAATGTCTATATTTTTGAGTCTCTGCATCGGCGGTTTCATAACCCTGCAAAATATCTTGTTCTAGGAAATATGGATTTTCTGTCCTTTTCTGAGATCTTCAACTTAGACTTGGACAAGTGTTGTTGTAGAATATATTGATTTGTTTGTTTTGGCTTTTAAACCGCCCCGGCCAGTGGCTAATCTATCTTTTGTGAGGTCTAGCATAACAAGATGGTGAATGAATAGAAAATAATTAGCAAATTTGAAATCCCAGTCTGACCATCCATCCATCCCCCCTATTGCAAATAAAAATGGTACAGCTCAAAAGAGAAGCAGGCAAGCCTAGACCTGCTTTTTTAGTTAATGAATAGTCATGAAGCCAGAAAGAGGGAGGGGCTAGAGATTTGTTGTTGGCTGCATCTGGAAGCTGACAGGGCAAGCAGAACTGGCGGAAAATCAGAAAATCAGTTTCTTGTACTGGAGTTGTTGTGAGAAGTTGGTTTCATTCAGAGCATCTGAAGCGAAGGGGTGAGACGTGAAGGACTGAGAATTGCACAAGTCACCTGTATTTTCGGGGAGGTCACATGACCAGACCGGTGGGAGAATCTCCCCTGTCTTTTGCCTGCCTTGCGGGATCGCTACAATGCTGTGTGTCGGTGACCTGCCTCATTACTACAGCACGGTAGGTGAGCAGATTTGCAATGATTTCATTGATTTTACAAAAGGAAAATCATTTCTTTGTTCACCGTCTGGCTTGAAACTACTTTTATGTTATTTTATTATTTTATTGTGACTTTTGTTTTAGTTACTTTTACTTTATTTAATTTTGTTGACTTATTTTATTTTATTGACTTGTTTTATTTAATTTTATAAACTTTTATTTTATTTTATTGACTTTTGTTTTATTTATTTTATTTTATTATTATAAATTATTATTTATTATTATTATTATTATTACACATTTATTTTATTTAATTAATTATTATTTATTATTTGTTTTATAAATTATTATATTTTATCATGTGAATTGTATTTTATTTACTCATTTACATATTTTTATTTTGTTTATTTTTATTATTAGAAAATATTATTTATTTAAAATATTATTGGTATTGTTATTATTATCAAGTATTATTATTATAGTATTTTATTTTATTTTATTATAAATTGTTATTTATTATCATTATTATTAATGATAATGTTTTTATGTATTTTTATTTTATTTGATGAATTATTATTTATTTAAATTGTTTTTATTATAAATTATGATATTTTATCAAATGAATTGCATTTTATTTACTTTTATTTAATTTATTTCATTGTTATTGTTATTTAAGTCATTATTTATTTAAAATATTGTTATTATTGTTGTTATCATCAAAGATTATTATTAATATTTATTTTATTTACTTTTATTTTATGTATTTATTTGTATCATTATAAATGATTACTTATTACAAAATTTTGTTATTGTTATTATTATTTTTATTGTTATTATTAGATTTTATTGTTAATATTTTTAATTTATTATTATAAATTATTATATAATTATGTTATTATTGTTATTAATTATTGATATCAGTATGATTTAATTTCGTTTACTACTATTTTATTTGATAAATGATTATTTATTTAAATGGTTATTAAGAATTCTTAAATTATTATTATTTTGATTTGTAATAATCACTTAAACATATAAATGGATTTCCTGTTGCACTATTGAAACAGCACTTCTAGTACTGCATTTGTTTTGTAAATGATTTGCAAAAATGGATTAAAATTGCTAAATAGCAAACTTACAATATAACTGAATGATATGATGCACAAATGCACTTGATTATTCAAAAATGTAATTATATAAAATATGATGCATTAAAGCTGAACATACAGATGTGGACAAAACTGAAAAACCTACAATGGTCACTAAAATAACTGGAAAAGTAAGGATTAATCAAATATTGCTGAAAATAAACGAATGGAAATCAGATATTGCTGGTTCAACAGAGGCAATAAACAGGCAAAATAATAAAACTGGCCTGGACAAAATTAAAGAGTGTTTTTTTCCACGTCTGAAAGACCATTCTGAAAAACAATTCATATATATTAAGACATTAGTTATGTGACTAATATTGGCCTTATATGCCGCTAGAAACTCCTTGAAAAGCTTACCTGTTGATATTTTTTCTGCTCACACTTTGGTAACTAAAAAAGGATAATATTCAGACTTTCTTCTGAATATTCAGAGCATTTGCAGTATTAAACTTGCAGAGGACTAGTAATATTTTGCTCTTTTGTTATTTTACTGTTATCTATGAAGTCTATTTAACTTCATTTGGTTAATACCAGGAATAAACAAAGTGATTATGAATAAGTGAGAGTAAAACCCACAGCAGATATTAGCAGTTTGTTCTGTGTACAGCAGAGGGTGCTATCTTTACATCTAAGGAAGATGTATTTTAAACGTTTCCTGCAGACAGATATAAAAAATCTGGTCAGAAAACAAAATGTATATATCATTCCTAATAAAGTAAAAGAACCTAATTTTAAAATATGACATTGATATTACCCATGCAATGATTTTATTAGTAAGTTTAAGGAAAGTTGTTCACCTTTGTGTTGTTTTTGTAAAATGGAGCTGTAAACAACAAAATGCTTTTGGTCCCAAGTTTCCCTATAACTTTTTGAAGTGTACGATAAATTTATCAATATGATTGATAAAAAAAAAATTATTTATGGATTGCAACTCTGAATTATTGGAAATGGACAAAACAACAAGCATTGTTATGTTATTTGGAAAGTACCAAATTCAGAAAACAAAATGTAAACTCTTCAATCTAAACCAAACTAAA